GCCTTGAGCTGCTGAGCAGGGGGCAGGGATGCAGCCTGTTGAACAGTTATTATGTGACAGCATCCCAGGCAATTTGCATATTCCTCTATTATTAGTATAGTTAGTTACTATAATAGAAGCTAGGTGAGTGTGGTCTCTCTCACTTCTCTCTCTCAAAATATTTTTTGAATTGCTTATTTCTGAAATTTTCAACTTAATATTTTCAGACCATAGTTGACTACAGGTAACTGAAACTGCAGAAAGTGAAACCATGGACAAAAGTGGCTACTGAACCTAGTGTATCATACTAGTTCTCTCGTTAACTAATCTATATATATAAAAAGCCAGTGACCAGAATGCCAAAACCACCGGAACAAACGGTCACTATGACTCCCAATGTGGCCAGAGAACTGGCCCAATTGGGGGGTGGAGCCAGCTGGCCAACCTCCCATGGCCCCTCCTCCTGGCTGGCTTCACCTCTGATAGGCCTCTCCCACCCTTATCGGGGCGGGGTGGCTGGCCAACACCCCTGTGGCCCTTCCCCCAAGCCAGTACTGCCCCCATTTGTTGCCCCACCTGGATCGGCCTGCAACCCCTTCCCCCGGCTGGCCCTGCCCCTAATTGCCCCCCACCCCAATAGGGGGTGAGCCAGGCCAGCCAACCTCTTGCAGCCCCACCCCTGGCCAGGCCACCCCTGATAGACCCCCACCACCCCAATCAGCCTGCAGCCCATTCTCATGATCAGCCCCACCCTGATCGTCCCACCCGCACCTCAATAGGGGGTGGGGATGGTCAGCCCACTGCCCACAGCCCCTTCCCATGGCTGGTCCCAGCCCTGATCAGCCTCCACTACCCCATCAGCCCGAGGCCCCTCCCCCCAGCCAGCTCCACCCCTGAATGCCCCTCATACTCACCAATCAGGGATGGGGCTGGCCGGCCAACCTCCCATGGCCCCCTGACTGCTGACCCCCAATTGGCTCTCCTACCTCATTCAGGGTAGGGCCAGCTGGCCCACCATCCACAGCCCCTCCCCACAGCCAGCCCCACCCACAATCGTTCCCCCCGACCCAGATAGGGGGAACTGGCCAGCCAACCTCCCATCATCTCCTCCTCCCTCTGGCAGGTCTAGTCCCAATCTGCCCTGACTGTTGCCGTATCGGCCACACCCCACCCATGCACAAATTCATGCACTAGGCCTCTAGTAAGTTAAATAAAACCTTCAACTTAAAAAAAATTTAAATATATTTTTATTGATTTCAGAGAGGAAAGAAGGGGGAGAGAGACACACAGAGAAAGAGAGTTGGAGAGAAAGTGAAAAAGAGAGAGAGAGAGAGAGAGAGAGAGAGAGAGAGAGAGAGAGAGAGACATGATGAGAGAGAATCATTGATCGGCTGCTTTCTGCACGCTCCCCAATGGGGATCAAGCCTGCAACCTGGGCATGTGCCCTGATGGGGAATCCAACCATGTCCTCCTGGTTCATAGGTTGAAGCTTAACCACTGAGCCATGCTGGCAGAGCCCTTTGACTTTTTTTTAAAGGTAATTGGAAGACAAGGAATCCAAGAAACAGTGTATTCAATCCAGGACATCACTGAATAGAGCTTCATTATAAATGATATTAATAGTGTTAAACAACTTTTCTTCAACTTTTAGCAATAAGCTATGAACAGACCCCAAGACAATCATTATTACTGAATGTTAATATTTTCAATTTTGACAATATTTTTTAAAAGTGCAGGTACCTCAATTTGGCAAGTGGAAGCTTATAGGAGAGGAGGAAGGAAGAGCAGTGATGTCAATACCCTTCATCTTCCAAGAAGGGTCATACTCTAGGGATGAAGATACAAAAATAAGTGCATGTAAATTAAAATAGTCGAGTGATATCGTAGTGGTCTCATTTGTAGTGTGTCAACTCACCCACTCTGCTATTACGGCCAAATGTCTCACTCCAATCTCGAGGGAGTCTGAGCTTCAGAGCCCTCAGAGTGACCCAAATAAGGGGAGGCTCGGGACCTCCATAGCCC